CCGATCTCTCTTTCGAAAGTGAGTCTTTCGAAAGTGAAAGTAGTCTGGACGTGGCTTTTTTGGAACCCCCCCTTTTTGAAATCGTCCTGCATAAACCTCATTTTTTTGAGGAAGAGCGATTTTTTCGGAAAAGGGGGCGGGGGGCGGTTCCGAAAAAAATGCGTCCAATCTACTTTTGCGGAATTGGCATATCCTCTTTCGAAAATACAGCGTAGTGTAGACGTACCCTGCGTGGAGTTCAGACAAACACATAGGCCATCAACTCCAGATACTTGCCCTACTTTTACAACCGGCTTTTACAACATAAAAGCACTAACGAAGGCAGTACCCACTAACACGTCATGCAGACAATGGCCTGTTTATACTGCTCTCTCTGCTATACACGAAAATGTGAGTACGATATGTGTATTCCTACCTGATTTCTTTTCGGATGATTTGATACAATAAGAAAGCCAGCAGCTTTTCAGGGCTAGTGACGCTTCGGGAGGCGCACTGTGAAGGTGCTTAGGACAGATCAGACTCCTGACAGGGGTTCAGCTGTCGGGAACGGTGGAGAGCCAGTGCTGTGTGTGTCGGGGCAATATTTGAATAACCCGGAGCTGCCCCGGGAATGAGTGAGATCTGCTCGCAGGTTTGCCAGGGAGCTCCTGACTTTACTCCGCAGGATAAATATTCTTCGGTTCCTCTGTTCTTTCACTTCCTGTCCCTGGAGAGCGGCTCCAGGCCGTCGAACTGCGTGTTAGCTGAGTGCGGCCGCATTTTCTCACGCGCGGGCTTTCATCAGCCCCTCGCGAGCAAAGCACGTTTCTCGCGGAAGCCTCTGTCGTCACTGGCATAGGGTGCAGTGTCTGTCAGCCTTGTAAGGGGAATAGAATCACCCAGACAAAGCTTCGTTCACGCTGCCCTGCTACCACGGAGCCGGGGCTGTGGAAAGGAACGGCCGTGTTGGGCATGCCTGCGTTGGCCCCGAATGCACTGGAGGGAAGCAGATGACGCGACATAACGGAGGAAGAGATGTGCCTGCAGGGCGGAGGGGCTTTGATGCACGGGAAGGTTTACAGGGGGGCACTGGTCCCCTCAGCGCCACCTTATCTCTGGCTCTGTCGTGTCTGAGGTGACTGGTGAGGGAGGGGCCACCAGCCACGTGACTCCTCCCCACCAGGGGAAGGGCTGGGCCCCCCCCCCTCCACTCCAGGCCCCGCCTCTCCCCACCCTTGCTCCGTCCTGCCGTTGCCAGAGAGCGTGAGGAGGACTGGACCTCTGCTGCAGGCCCCCACCGGCGTCTGGCTGGCCCCTCCATCCGTAGCGTTGGGGACATGTGCCCCCCCCCACACACACACACATTACAGCCGAGTGGCACTGGCGGAGCATCTGCCGGTGGGGGAGAACGTGCCAGCCAGGAAGCGGCTCCTGGCACGTGCTACCTGTCTCCAGCGCGGCTCTCCGGATTTAGTGCACCCCTCAGCCGTGGAGTGTCGGGCCTGCGTGGGGGCGAGCCAGGCTTGGCTTTGTGCAACGCAGGGCGACACATAGGGTGCACGGGGCTCCGGGGGGGCCTGGGGTGTCAGCGGGGAGGCGCCGTGGGCGTGATTCTCTCGCCAAGCCAGGATTACGTCGGTTGTGGTCCCTGGACGGCGAAGGGTGTTCTGAGTCTCTCCACTGCAGCGAGAGCCGCCTCGGGGGCACCGAGCTGCCGGAGCCAACCTGCCCCGCTGAAACGTGCCCCCGGATTTTCCCACACCAAGCAAGAACATTTCCCTCCTCCCCCTCCGAATGCCACCACGGCTGATCCCACCCTGCACCCGAGTGGCCTTCCCCCGCTCCCTCCCTTTCAATCCGGAGCTCCCTGTCTCGACTGTAAGCACGTTCGGGAGCGTTCCGTTCCTTCGCTGACTTGACGTGAGGCAGAGCGTCCCGGGGAAGGCGGTAATACTGCAGGGGGAGGGGTGGTGAAAAACCAACTCGTGTTCTTGATTTTTGACTGTTTATTTTTTTAGGAATGTTTTTTTTTTGGGGGGGGGGTCTTTGTGGCTCATTTTTTAAACCGGAACGGAGCGATCCCTGTGTGGCAGAATCCCTTTAATAGACTGAGTCGTCTTTTTTTTAGCCCATCTCTGCCCTGGCTTTGCCTTCCCTTGGACGTGCCGAGCCGTAGGGAAGGAGCGGGTGCAGCTGGGCTATGTGTTTCCGAGGACGAGGCTTGTGTGGCTGGCAGATCTCTGCGAATTGGGTTAAAATCTGGCTGCACGGAGCCAGCTGCTCAGGAGGGGAGGGGTTTCTGCTGGCAGTCCTGGGGTCTCCTCTGCATTCCCTCTACCCCAGCCCCATGCCTTCCCCCAGCAGCGGTTCATTTGGAGGCAGCTGCACAGGAAATGGCTTTTCCATGTGGCCGTGCTTGTAAGATGTCATGTCCTCACATAGGCTGTGCCAGACCGGCTCCTTCCCTGGGGAAGCAGCCCCCGTTCCGCCCTCCCTTCCTGAACCGGAGGATGGGCTTCCGGTTCCAGGTTCAGCGTGCAAGCTGTGCACGTGTGCAAACGCATGGGGTCTCTGCTTCCTGGGGCTCTTCCCCTCTCCTCTCGTACCCGCCCCCCCATCACTGTCCATCGGAGTCTCACGGGGAAAACTTGGTGTCCTCGTCCCAGCTCTCCCCTGCTCCATCGTGGAAGGGCTAGTGGCGCCGGTGTGTTCACGCGGTTCGTTCCAGGTTCAGCGTGCAAGCTGTGCACGTGTGCAAACGCATGGGGTCTCTGCTTCCTGGGGCTCTTCCCCTCTCCTCTCGTACCCGCCCCCCCATCACTGTCCATCGGAGTCTCACGGGGAAAACTTGGTGTCCTCGTCCCAGCTCTCCCCTGCTCCATCGTGGAAGGGCTAGTGGCGCCGGTGTGTTCACGCGGTTCTTGTTACGCTTCAGCGTTTTAGCGGGCTGGGGAAGGCCGGCTTGCGGCTCTCAGAGCTGCTGTTCCCGGCTGTCTGCCGACTCTCTCCGTGGGCGTCTTTCAGCAGGCGGCTAACGTGGAGACTGAGGAGTGTGTCTACGCTACACACTAAGCCCATATGTGTAGGCTGACCAACAGCCTCTGCGGGGACGTCCGCATTGCCCTCCTTGGGGCGGTGGGGTGCGTCCGCAGTTGGAATTCTTCCCGCGACCTCAAAGGGCTACTGGGGGGCAGTGAGAGCCCCTTTGGCCCATGGGCTTTTGGCACTAGCTTGGCTTTTTCAGCTTCTGCTCCCTGGTCCCTGCCAGCCGTGAGGAAAGGGAGATGAGGGGCGGGGGAGAAAGGGACAGCCCTGATTCCCAGCTCGGAGTGGGGATCTGTCACCCTGCTTTCCAGAAAAAGTGATGGGCTCCAGCTGCCTGGCTTTCTTGTCCATTTCCTGCCATGGAATGGACAAGACACAACAGCTGTTGTAAGCTTACTAGCGGTGTAGTACAGAGCAGGCCTAAAACTTTTCCATGTCTAGCGTCTCTGGAACATGGTGAAGGTTTTAGGCTGGGTTTCCAAAAGGAACCTACAGGAGTCAGGCATCCAAATTGCACTGAATTTGGGCACCAAACTTTCCGTTCAAAATCTCAGGGCACAGATATCTCAGTGTTACTGAGGGTGTGTGTGTGTGTGTGTTTTTTTCTTCTTTCTCAGTCCCCCAGTAGGCTGCCATCCCTCCAGGATTGTCCTGGAGTCTCCTGGAATTAAAGATTAGCCTTCCATAGCATCTTACATTGGATGAAACCTCCCGGAATACATCCAACCAAAACTGGCAACCCTACACCCAAATGATACTTAAAATTAAACAACCCTCTGCTTGGTTTAGAGACTTCTATAATCAAAGCATTGTCCACCTCTGGGCTCAGCTAGAGATCCAATTCCTATTGGGGCTTAAATTAAAATATATATTTATTTTATTGAGCTGGTCATTTCTTTTACAATGCAACTTCTTTTATCAGAAAAAAACAAGTGTGTGTGTGTGTGTGTGTGTGTGTGTGTGTGTTAAAGTCCTTTACAGCCGGGATGCATTTTCCACAAGGACGAAGCAGTGGCTTGAATCAAATTTGGTTTGCATGACTGATCAAAAACCATTGCCAGAGATGTTGCAAATGCTACGTCATTGAGACTGCAGAGCAAAGCTTTATATAAGAACATACGGATCTGTGCCATATTTTTCCTGCTTAGACTCTAGAAAGACAGACTGAGGGTGTGTCTACAGTGCACCCTTAAGTCAAAATAAAATATACAATTTGCACCAATAGCACACTATTTTGAGAGATCCCTTATCCCTCGTGCAACAAGGTTTACAGGGATGCCGAAATAGTGGGTCCGTTATATTTTGCAATAGCGGACGCATTCAAAAGACGCAGGGTAGCTATTTCGGGATACCTCTGGTATCCCGAAATAGTCTTGCAGTATAGACTTACCCTGAGAGATTTTTCTGTTTTTAAAGAAAAAGTGTTTTTATGTTAGAAATACCCCTGCTTCTCCTGTGATTCTGGAACTGTTGTGATTATGGCATTGTAGGTACTGAGATAGGAACTGATTAAGATGGAAGAGAGTTTTAGTCACATTGTTGAAAGGATCAGAGGGGTCGCTGTGCTAGTCTGTATTGGCAAAAATAACGAGGAGTCCTATGGCACCTTGAAGACTGTCCGATTCAGGTGGGCATAAGCTTTCATGGGCAGATGCAAAAGCTTGGTTTCTCTTAATAGCCATTTAACTCAAATGCCGGGAAAACAGTTGGGAGTAAAGACTTCTTGGTTAAAGAACAACCGGGCCTTTTAGTTAAGGGCTGTGAATGCTCCCGTTCAGTTCTCTGGCCTTTTAAAGAGACCAGGAAAGCTGATATTCCTGTTTTTAAAAACAAGGTTAAGTAATAGTAGTAGAGTAGTAGTAGATTAAAAAATAAAAACCTTTTAGGCCTTCTGACACCATCATTTAGAAACAAAAAAGGGCACAAAAGCCGTTTCCTCTTCCTGTGCAGCACACTATCTGGGCGTTTTTTGTATAAAATATTGTGTAACTCTCAGAATGTTTGAGTGTGTGTTTGTAGTGTTTCTAGAATACACAAGGAGAGCAAAGTTTTCTGAAGGATGTAATAAGCCAAAAGGGGCATGAACCCATGGGCAGTGGGTGAAAGCCCATCTGCAGAAGGCTACCCCAGCCCCGCCCCTTCTGCCCAAGACTCCACCCCTTCTGGGTGCAGAGCTGGGGCTGCCATGCTATGGCCCTGCCCGGTGGCTGGGAGGAGCCGGGCTTCCACTCTGCAGCCCTAGTCTTTCCTAGGGTTGGGCATGGACGTCTTAGGCAGTTGGGCGTGGACGTAGTTTTGGGAAGGCTATGCCTTCCCCTGCTTACGTTACCAGCCGCCCATGCATGAACCAACATTGTGGTTCTGGACATCCTGGTAATGTTGGGTAGTTTTGAGTCAAACAAAACTAGAGCTGTCTCTTCTGAGTTTCTCTCTGTCTGTCTCTCTCTCAAGTTATTTCAGTATCGACTCAAAGATCAGGAAGCCTCCAGATGCCTCTTAGAATCTCTTTTTGCCCGTCGGAACTGGCAGCTGTTCAAATCATGGGGAGCCCTTCCAATCCTCCAGAGACCGTCTGGATCAGGACCTTGTGGGAGAGCAGAATTAAGGGGCTGAGCATTCGAAATATGTAGGGTTTTTTAATGTGGCGGAATTAATGTAGAAACCCAGAGACTCCATCCTGAGATGCACTGACTCTTCCCCCCCACCCCCACCCCCAAAAAAAGCAAGCAGGGGAGGGGAGAGAAATGAAGAACTCCTGCTGGGCTGGCAGGAAGGGGCCGGCGTGGCAGGTGCGGGAAGTCGCGTGTTCACAAGCAGTGTTGCACGCTCAGGAGATGGCTTGGCTCTGTCCGGGCGGGGGGGCTCTGTGCTATTAGGTCCGATGACAGGATTGAGCCTGGGATAGAGACTTTGCTTCATGTCAGGAGCTGTTGGCGTTTCACAGGTAACGTAGAGGGGCGAGAAGGGTGCAGAGACGTTTCCCTGATGCCTTGGGAAGACGCTGTCGGTGGCAGAGACCTTCTGAAGGGGGGTGACCTAGGATGGGGTCTGAACCCCAGAAGCTACATGCCGTTCCCGCTTGTCCAAACCCAGACATTTGGGAAGGCCAATTCTTTACTTACTTAATGGGGCGTTGTCGCCGGCGAGGCCGGGGGGTTTTAATTGTGTTTAGCTGACAAGGGCTTACACTTCACGGCTCTGGCTGTTCATAGCTGGTCTCTCTCTCTCTCAGTCTCGCATCGCCAAGCGAGGGAGGAAGCTGGTGGATTACGACAGCGCCAGGCACCATTTTGAATCCTTACAAACCGCAAAGAAGAAAGACGAAACCAAAATCGCCAAGGTAAAGAGCCGGGCGGGCCCAGCTTTCATTTCTTATCGTTTTTAAGAACGGCTCCCTTCGGAAGTTGGATCCTGATGACGCATTGCTCCTGCGGGCTTTCTGCGTGGAGAACTGGTGTGCCATGAGGCGGGTGGAGAGCCCTTCATTTAAATAAACTTGAGGAGAAGGCTCTGAAGGTGTTAAGGCGGTGACACTGACTTTCTGGGCAGTATACCGGGCACTGAGGTCAGGGCTATGTGTGTAAGATTTGGTGAGCACAGAACCCTGCATGAGAAAGGAAGACTGGCCTTCCGGTGCCAGCTCGGAACTGGGAGGCAGGAAAGCCTGGGTTCTATTTCTCACTCTGATCAAGGAGCGTGCCTCAGTTTCCCCACCTGCAAAATGGGGATGGGAATACGTGGCTGGCTGCTGCTGAGGAGGTCTGCAGAGGGCGCTGAGACTACATGGCACTTGGAGCTTGTTCCCTGCACAGCTTTGCTCTTTCAGCCTGGCGGGTGCTACGGCCAAATGGAGAAAACAAAACTGGCAATTCAGTGGCCACATACCCTCCCTGATCATCTGGGCCCTGTCTTTTGGTTAAGATTTAACGTGTGATGTTAACGTGTGCTGGAGAACACGCTGGAACGTCTCGTATGGGCCAGAGTAGACTTTTACCAGTGGTACGACAGTTGAATACCAACCTGGGCACCCCTCCGTGAGCCCATATTAGAGATGTGGGGGTGGAGTGGTGGGGGTGGGATCCCAGTTCCACTGATGTCAGTGGCAAGATTCTGCATTGACTTGAGTGGAGCCAAGATTTCATGCGTGTGTGTGGGTCTACGCTAGGCAATTCCAAGGTGTTAGCCAGAACATGCGAATGGCACACCTTAAATTCTGGTGGGGGTTTTTTTTTGGGGGGGGAGGGAGGATGAGCTAGGGATGTTGGGAGAAGAGAAGAGAGTGAAATTTCAATTCCCACCCACTCCAGAAGACTCAATTAACAAGCCACAAAAGGTTTTTTTCTCAAAATACTCCAGTGTTCCTGGAAAACGTTACTGCTCCATGGCCCTTCATGTCTGGTGCCAAATAGCTAATCTGCCTTCTCAGTGGTCCTTTTGCACTTGGTGGCTGGTTGGCAGCACTTCAAAGATTAAAATACTCCTCTCTTTCTCCCTGCTGGCACTCTGGATCACCTGGCAAAACTAGGTGGGGGAACTGGAAGGTGGATCTAGGAACCAGAATCATTGTATCAGATACGGAAACAAACCCAGTGTCCCTCATTTGACACCCAAGCCTGGTCAGCGGGTCACAGCAGAACTGGGAAGGGGATTGTCCATGGTGGAGGTGGAGGAATCTTTTGTTTAGGGGCGTCGTTCACTGGCAGGTCTAAAACCTTCTGCGGTGATTCACGGATGAACATAGGGCCCCCGTCTGGTACTTTCGAGTCCGGGTAGCTAGACTCCTCCATCTGTGCTTCGCACCCTGGTCTCGTCCAAACTGCTCATGTGCGGATGCTCTGCAACAGATGTCGGGTGGTCGACACATTAATAGATAAGGTCATTGAGCAACGTGGCCCAAGCCCAGGGTTCAATTCCTGGTGCTGCCTCTGGGATATTTAAATCAAGCAATTAGAAGTCAAGGGGAGCTTTTTCAGTCCCCGCCGTGGGCTTGGCTTGGCCCTCTCTGCCTCAGTTATCCTGCCTGTATAATAGTCATAACGCGACTTCCCTCCCTTTGTGAAGTGCTTTGAGATCTCTGGAAAAGCATGGGAGAACAACACATTCTTGTTGTTTATTATAGAGCAAATACTGGGCGCTAATGATTCCAACATCATGCAACTTTTCAAACTCCTCCTTCCTTCCTCCTCTCTCCCCTCTCCTCCCCGCTTCTCCGAAAGCCTGCTTCTTACTGCTGACTTTACAACACTCCATTAGAATAAAGAGCCGGGCACTTTCAAATAATTGCATGGGGACAAGAGTGATGTTGAATTAATCCCTTGGAGGAAACTCAACGCCTGGCCTTTCTGTGCTAAGTCACTAACCATTCTTGCCTGTTGCTCTTTGGAGCTGGACAGCTGGTAAACATTCATTACGGCAGCCCTTGGCAAGATTCGTAGCGGCTCGCACTCCATTAGAATAAAGAGCCGGGCACTTTCAAATAATTGCATGGGGACAAGAGTGATGTTGAATTAATCCCTTGGAGGAAACTCAACGCCTGGCCTTTCTGTGCTAAGTCACTAACCATTCTTGCCTGTTGCTCTTTGGAGCTGGACAGCTGGTAAACATTCATTACGGCAGCCCTTGGCAAGATTCGTAGCGGCTCGTGCCCTGGGTGCGGTTTCTCTTGCCTTGGTGGTGTGGGGTTGGCTCGGCCTGTACTGCTCCGGCACTCGTGATTTGGTTTTTCTTAACAGATGTCTGTCTCTCTCCTGTGTTTTGTTTTCTCTTTCCTTTGAAAACGCTCCCCCGCAGCCTGTCTCGCTGCTCGAGAAAGCTGCGCCTCAGTGGTGCCAAGGAAAACTACAAGCTCATCTCGTTGCTCAAACTAATCTGCTCCGAAATCAGGTGACTGCTTCCCAACTTGGCTCTAACCCCTGCATGTGCTAGTCTGGGCTCTAGTTCAGTACTGTGCTGGTATTCTCCAGGCTGTGTTCACTCTAGGCCTCCCTAAAGCGCATCCGATTATTCAGGGCTCAGATTTCTTCCTGGTCTAACACCAGCGGCCTTAAGTGAAGTTACATCTGGGGTGAGTTTGATCAATTGATTCCCCCCCCCCCCAGTGTTTACTTTGCCCTATAAAATGAACTCTGGGGGGTGGATTTGGGGGGGGGGGAGAAGACTTCATGCAGTTCTCCTAGCATTTTTCCCCCAAAACGAGAAGCAGATTTGATGGTTTAAAAATAGAAACCTGGAAGCTGCCTCGTGAATTTCTGCCATTCAGTAAAGCTGGATGCGAAATACCGCAGCAAAAACCAGAAGTGGTTTATACATTTGTGCAGATTGGTTGCTAAACGTTCGCGGAGTGAGATCCAAAAACCCAAATTTGAATTGATTCTTGGCTGGAGTAAGCGCTGGGAGAATCTCTGATGGTCTCCGAGGTTCAGTCTGCTTTGGATTAGAAGTGGACCCAAGCCGTGCCTTAGCACTAGACTTTGAACCCTGGCCAGCTGCGGGCTCCTGGGCTGCCTGGGTAGAACAGAAAGCAGGAATCCTCCGGGTCTTGTTTAGATCGGAGGGGAGGAGCTTTATAAGCAAGATCAGGGCAGCTGTAGTTCTGGACATTGGAGTCTTTGTTCATCTCCTCGCTTGGGGAGTGGGAAGGAGAAATTTGCCTTCACGGTAGAATCTCCCGTGGTGTCATGGGACTCCTCCGATCCAGATCTTCAGAGGTCTGTAGGCACCGAACTTCCATTTAAAACATTTCCTAAGCCCCTTTTGAGCACTCGAGGCCTTGTCTACGCTGAAACGTTTCCATGGGTTTACCCTGAAAGCGTGGCCCCGGCATGGCTCTCCAGCGCTGGAGGGAACCCACCTCCACGAGTGCTGGCAGCCCGTTTACACTGGCACTTTACGCCGGCGGTAACTTTCTGGCTCCGGAGTGTGGGAAAAAAACCTCCTGCCCCTGAGCACAGCAAGCTACAGCGCCGTCAGCTCCTCCCTTCATGGAGGTGGTTTACAAAGAGCGCTGGGCAGGAGCAGTGGGGGCAGGTAAGGCCTGGGGGAAGCAAGCACCTAGCCACGCCCCTTCTGCCCAGGCCCCGCCCCCCCTTGGGAGCCAGAGCACCAAGGGGAGGGCAGGCACTCGGGGGCAGCAACACTCTACCCCCTAGTACGCCTACAGCAGGCAGGCTGGTAGAAAGCGCTGCCCTGGCTGTTCTGTAAACTTTTCAGTGTCAACCAAGTCTTATCCTGAGCCTCGGGCACCTACAGTCGGAGCAGCCAGGAGGACTGTGCCAGGAAGGAAAACGAATCCTCTGAGTGGGGGGAGGAGAGTAAGTCATTGTCCTGACTCAGAGAAACCCAGCTATCGACTCATGCCTGCCTACCTGGTGATCTCATGTGCTCTCATTCCAGCGCTGGTCAGATTCCTGGGGAGTGAATGAATCACTGTTTACCAAGGGCAGGTCACCATTTAAAATACCTGGAAGCATCACAGACAGTTTCTGACTGTACCGATAGGATAGCGGCCAATAAAAGGCTGGCTGCCACGTAAACTGAGCATTGGCTAATGGGGGAGATGGCTGATTGCAGTTCCCCTAAAAAGGGAACCTGCAAAGGAGGCAAAAAACTGTACTTCGGTTTTGTTCGCGGTGAGGTCTGAAGAAGGCCTGAAAGGTTTCTTTCGGCTTGTTTTTCAGCTCAGAACTATCAGGGCAAAGAGACAATTTGCTGGAAGGTTCTTTGGAGGACTGCGGAACTAGGGAGGGAAATTTCTGAGCTCCTAATCAAAGAAATCCTCATTAAGCTAACAAACCCCAACTCCCTTCCCCTGCTAATTGCTCATCTTCCAGTCTCTTGTGATAATCTCCCTCTGTTTTTTGCGGGGAGTCTCCAGGCCTGGAAGACTGGGCACCCTTTGAGTTCTAATATTTAAAGACCAGTTGAAAATTAACCTTTCAAATAACTTACCTGCCAGGCCTTTAAGAGATGGAAATCAGCCGGAGTTTCTTGTGGAGCTCTGGAGTTTCCTCTCGGGGGGTGTTAGCAAGCGATGTTGTTGTATTCTGGTGGGTGTGCCACTTAGCACTAAGGAGAAACCGCTTAGAGTAGCAAATTCCTGCCGTTCCTTAGCTCCCTGGAAATGCTAACCTCTGTCTAGGCAGCAGTGTCTTCTGGGATTCAGAGCGCCAGTGTTTCTGGGTGTCCGTGCCAGCTACCAGCTAGCTGAGCAGGGCATCCCTCTGCTTCCCCAGAGAGAGGGTGGCTTATGGGTTAGGATCTAATGTGGGACTTAGGAGACCTGGGTTTAGTTCCCTGCTCTGACACTGCTTCCTGTGTTGCCTTGGGCAAGTCACTTAGGCTCTACATCAGTATGGGAGTTCAATGGAAGTGAAGTGGCTAAATACCTTTGAACATCGGCCCTTGGACTTGCTACCCTTGCACCTTTTACCCTTGGATCCAGGCCTATGCAGCTGATGACTCCCTGTTGTGTTCACTCCCTCGGGGGCACCTGGCGCTGGCCACTGTCAGAAGACAGGATGCTGGGCGAGATGGACCTTTGGTCTGACCCGGCCATATGTCACAATGCAGCCCGTCTGCCTCCACACTGAGCTGCCTCCATGCTGCCGAAAGACAGGGGTGGGACCGCTTGGTCTCACCCCTAGCGGGGTCCTCGGAGCCAGGTTACTGACCCGAGTCAGACTGAGCTGGGTGTGGACAGAAGCTGGATTTGGGCTCAAACCTGGCCCATTGTGTGCAGTGTAGACTTCCCCTCCCTTCCCCACCCATATTGTGGGGATCACGGCTCGGCCCGCCTCCCATAAACGCCCACCGAAGGTCAGCTGCTCCACTGCTGCAGTGACAGGCTGCTGACGCCCTCCTTCTCCTGCTGGCCTCCCCGATCCCTGCCCTGGATTTAGGCACTGGAGGATCTGGGTTTCCCTCCTGTTGGGAGTGTGGAATAAACGGACGGCTGCAGGAGCTGAGGACAGCTGGGCAGGACGTGCTGAGAATCAGGCGGCTGCGGTGCACGGCTTAAACACATCCCAGGCAGCGCTGGATTTGTGCTGTTGGCTCGGCCAGAGCATGAGAGAAATGAATGGAGCTCCATCGCGGGGCACACCAAGGGGATTTTAAACCCTGAGCAATAGCTGGGCTGGGTGGATTCCTCTTCCCTGTCTAGAGTGAACACCGCCTGTGCGCTTGTAGTGGCTGGGCTTTGGGCTGTCCCAGTCCTCACAGCTCCGCACAGAGTTGCTGTCTGGGGTCTTCGGCCTCAGGCCGGCGGTTTTCAAACGACGGGTCGTGACCCAGGACGGGGGGGTGGGATGTCGGGCGCTGGGTCTCGTGGCTGCAGGGGGATCAGGTGAGCAGTGGGGGGCTAAGGCAGCTCCCTGCCTGGCCTGGCACCCCAGACTGCGCTGCGCCCCAGAAGCGGCCGGCAACAGGCCCGGCTCCTAGATGTGTGTGTGGGGGGGGAGCGCACAGGGCTCCATGCACAGCCCCTGCCCAGAGCTCTA